TCCCTCCCCTCCCTCCCTCCCTCCCTCCCTCCCGTCGTGGGGCTTGAACTCGGGGCGCTGTCCCTCAGCTCTTCGGCTCAAGGCGAGCGCTCTACCGCTTGAGCCACAGCGCCACTTCCGGCTTTGCTCGGGCTCACTGGAGATCAGAGTCTCTGGTCTCTCCTGCCCGGGCTGGCTTTGAACCGCGATCCTCGGCTCGCGGCCTCCCGGGCCGGCTCCGAGCAGCGCCCCGACAGCGCTCTAACCCACGGTATTTGCAGCTGCGAGCGCCGGGTAGGTGTTTTCTCAGACTAGAGAACCGTCTCAGATCCTACCAGGCCCCGGAGCCCCTCTCCAATGCGGGCGGACGTAGAGGTGGCCGAATGGGTGAATCCTTTAAGAGCTCACATTTTCAGTGTCTCCTTGGAAAAGCAATGTTTTTCCTGCCAGAGGAGGCCCACGGGCGCGCTTCGGCGGCCGCCCCCACGGAGCATGCGCTTTGCGCTTCGGCGGCCGCCCCCACGGAGCATGCGCTTTGCGCTTCGGCGGCTGCCCCCACGGAGCATGCGCTTTGCGCTTCGCCAGCTGCCCCCACGGAGCATGCGCTTTGCGCTTCGGCGGCTGCGTGTGAGGGCCGTGGAGCGTGCGCGCTTCCGTGGCTGTGGGAGGGCCGCGGAGCATGCGCGCTTCGGTGGCTGTGGGAGGGCCGCGGAGCGTGCGCTTTGCGCTTCGGTGGCTGTGGGAGGGCCGCGGAGCATGCGCTTTGCGCTTCGGTGGCTGCGCGTGAGGGCTGCGGAGCGTGTGCTCTTCAGCGGCTGCGCGTGAGGGCCGCGGAGCATGCGCTTTGCGCTTCGGTGGCGGTGGGAGGGCCGCGGAGCATGCGCTTTGCGCTTCGGTGGCTGTGGGAGGGCCGCGGAGCATGCGCGCTTCGGTGGCTGTGGGAGGGCCGCGGAGCATGCGCATTGCAGTCACGCGTTCAGCGGTGCCGTGTGCCCCTTCTGCAGCTCGGTTTGTACATCTGTAAAATGGGCCGTGACTGCTGGTGCACAAGGTCTAACCCCTGGCTGAGTAGATTCTCAGCAGAGGCAGCGTCCGGGCGCCTGGGAAGCCTCGGAGGCCGTTCTTCGTCTCCATGCTGGAGCCATCCCAGGGATGAAGAACGTGAGCGATCGTCAGGTTAACCCGGCTCTCGGTAGAGCTCTATGGTTTGCTCTTGTTGGAAGAAAAGAGAGCAGGAGGTTACAGCGCTTTTTCTGGAGGGAAGGCAATCCAGCCCTGGAAAACCTTCCCAGGCCCTGAGAGCCTTTGTGGCCACGTCATGGTTTCCCGCCGTCATTAATGAAGATGCTGCTCGGGGACTCGGCGCTTGTCCCTGCTCGGGGACCCTTGCGCTGTCCCAGCCTTTCCGAGGGCAGGAAGCAGGTCCCTTCTCCCTCATCTGTTTCTCTCCAGCAGGACAAAGGCTAGTCTTATGTCAGCCCAGGCCGGAGGAGGGGATCCGCCCATATAACTTTCCATCCCAGCGGGAGCTGAGGAGGCCAACTTGGCAGGGGCTAAGGCTAGAAAAATAAGAACTACAGTTTGGCCTTCCTCCACAGTGGAAAACAAAAGTCAGCCCCTTCCCACCATGGCTGCTCTCTCCTCTGAACACCCTTTCTTTGCCAGGACGGCGGCAGGCTTGCCCTCTTTCTTTTTTTTTTAATAAGTTTTTTATTGTGAGACTACTGTTCAGAGGAGGGGTTTTACAGTTCATGAGCGAGGTAATGAGTACATTTCTTATCAAGCATTGTTGTCTCCTCCTTTGTTTTTTCCCCTACCATCCCTGCCCTCCCACAACTATACTCTCCCCACCCCCTGCTTAAATTGTAAAGTTCATTTTTCAACATAGCATCTTGTACATCTCATTGTTGCTACGGGTCCAACTGGATCCCTGTTTAAACAATTTATTTTTTCCCTTCCCCTCCCCAAATTATACCAATATCAAATACAGTGAAAACAGGGGTTATGCCATGGGGGAGGGACATACAAAGCAACAAAAAAAATCATGTGGTACCTTATAAATACATTAGAAATAATAGCAAGAAAGAAAAAACTACCTGTGTCCTTATCTTGGGGTTCATTTTGCTTAGCATCATCTCATCTGACCTTTTCTGCTTGTCTCAGACATATACTAGTTATTGCAAATAAGGAAACCATGGGACCTATGTTTCTTTGTTGCCCTCTTTCTTAAGACTCAAATAGAAGCAAACACCAGGACCACTGCTCACACGCACTCCACACTTCGCTGAACACAGCTCAACCCTGCTGGAGAGGGCAGGAAACCATCTGGAGGCTGAGCTTTAAGAGTGCGGGGAAGGAATTACTGTGCTCTTTTTTGTTGTTTTGTTTTTAATTTTTAAATTGTTATTTAAAAGGTGGTGTACAGAGGGGTTACAGTTACTAACTACCCAAGATGCCAGCAGAACCCTTCCATGCCAGAGACTCCCAGCACTAACAGGGAGGTGCCCACCACAGCTGTGTCCACTGATGGAGAGAAGAAAAGTCTATGATCAGAAGGGTCTCTGATCATTGCCTCTGGGGAAAAACAGGCTATGAGCACATACTGTTTGTTTCCCATACCATTTGTGAGCCTTTCTCATTCTAAATGGCATGTTGTTCTGATTCTAGAGGCAAAAACTGTTGATAGTGGACACTTTAAAGAAAAGTGAAGAAGAAAGCAAAAGTTCCCTGTCTTCTATCCCTCAGAAGACAAATACTTTGAATCCTATGAAGCATTGTCTTCTGGGTTTTTCTTTTCCAACAAGCATAAGTGAATCTAAAAGGCAAAGAGCTTAGACATCTGGGAGAACCTGAGATGGAAGAAGGTGATTGAAAAAGGGGGAAGGAAAGAGACTGAGCTGTTGGGTGAGGGCAGATCTGAGCACTCAGACCGAGCCCAAGTGCTGGATGGGGCTCAGACCACCAGGTCTCTTCTCCCTTCGCCAGGCAGGGACCCTTCCTTCTGCAGGCCACTTTCAGCATCCCATGCCACATCAGACTCCCTCACTGAAAGCTGAGCATGGGACAAGTGTTGTATGTTTTCATCTATAGCTAAGAGGTTGGTCGCAGGTGAGGCAGAGAACGGTGGTCACCAGGGCTGGAAAGGGAGAAGAGTGGGAGGATGGGTCACAAGTAGGAGGTACAGCTAATAGAGAGGATTTTGAATGTTCCAAGCACAAGGAAATAAGAGTCTGTGGGCAAGCCAGCCACCCTGATCTGATTTTTCAATCACGTAAATTAAAATGTCACATGATACTTTCCCAAAGTGTACAGGTATGTGTGAATTAAACATAGGTTTTGAACTTTCTGGTGCCACTTAGGTCTACCCCAAGAGAACCAGTCCACAGCCTCCCCAATTTCTGCTGCCAGCGATCTTATCCTCATTGCCTGCTCTCATCCACAGGTAAAATCCTCTTTCGACGGAGCCATATCCGGGATGTGGCGGTCAAACGCCTGATACCGATTGATGAATACTGTAAGGTAAGGTACACTTTAAGATAAGGATGAAGGGGCTGGGAAGGTGGCTCAGTGGTAGAGTGCTTGTCTTGCATGCCTGAGGCCCTGGGTTTGATTCCTCAGCACCACATAAGCAAAAAGAAAAAAGCCGGAAGTGGCGCTG